TTACAGATTCAATGCAATCCCCCTTAAAATCCCAGCACAATTTTTTACAGACCTTGAAAGAAAAACAATCAATTTTGTGTGGAAAAACAGAAGACCTAGGATAGCCAAAACAACCCTGTTCAAAAAGGCAACGTCCGGAGGCATCACCGTCCCTGACCTCAACTCTATTATAGAGTCCTGAAAACGGCTTGGTATTTGCACAAAAATAGACAGGTAGACCAATGGAATCAAATTGAAAACCCAGATATTAACCCACACATGTATGAACATCTGATCTTTGATAAAGAAGGTAAAGATATAAAATGGAATATAGAAAGCATCTTCAACAAATGGTGCTGGCATAACTGGAGGCTGGCATGTAGAAGAATGCAGATTGATCCATGTTTATCGCCATGCAAAAAACTTAAGTCCAAATGGATCAAAGACCTCAACATAAATCCAGCCACACTGAACCTCTTAGAAGAGAAATTGGGCGTTACCCTTGAACAAATTTGTACAGGAGACAGTTTCCTGAACATAACACCCGTAGCACAGACAGTGAGTTCAACAATTCATAAATGGGACCTCCTGAAACTGAGAAGCTTCTGTAAGGCCAAGGACACAGTCAGCAAGACAAAAAGGCAGCCAATAGAATGGGAAAAATATTCACTAATCCCACATTTAACAGAGGGTTGATCTCCAAAATTTACAAAGAACTCAAGAAGCAAATCTCCAAAACGCCAAAGGATCCAATTAAAAAGTGGGCTGCAGAACTAAATAGAAAATTTTCAAGAGAGGAGTCTAAAATGGCTGAGAGGCACTTGAGAAAGTGCTCAACATCCTTAGCCATCAGGGAAATGCAAATCAAAACAACTCTGAGATACCATCTCACTCCTGTCAGAATGGCTAAAATCAAAAACACCAATGACAATTTATGCTGGAGAGGATGTGGTAAAAGGGGGACACTCCTCCATTGCTGGTGGGAGTGCCAACTTGTTCATCCACTTTGGAAATCAGTATGGAGAATTCTCAGAAAAATGGGAATAAACCTACCACAACACCCAGCAACTCCACTCTTAGGCATATATCCAAAAGATGCCCATTCATACAACAACGATGTCTGTTCCACTATGTTCATAGCAGCATTATTTGTAATAGCCAGAACTTGGAAGCAACCTAGATGCCCCTCAACAGAAGAGTGGATAGAGAAAATGTGGTATATTTACACAATGGAGTACTATTCAGCAGAAAAAAAATGGAATCCTGAGATTTGCAGGCAAATGGATGACACTAGAAGAAACCATCCTGAGTGAGGTAGCACAGTCACAAAAAAAGAAACATGACATGTACTCTCTCATATATGGATTTTAGACATAGATCTTGGGAGTGCCAGCCTACAATCCTATGGCCAGAGAGTCTGGGAAACAGAAACTTCATTTAGTGGCTGATCGAAGAAGAGGCAGACTCCCTCGGTTAAGTACTGAGCTGAACTCAAGAAAGCCAGTAACAGAGAGGGAGGACTGATGACCAAAGGGATTAAGACTGGGCTGGTTTAACCCCAAGAAACAGCTGATCTGAGAAAGGTTAACTCTTGTATCCCATGCATCAGACTGGGAATCTCGCATGCGACTGATCAAGACCCCCTGAATGTGCGTGTCAGTGAGGAAGCCTAGGTAATCTATTGAGCCTTGGGCAGTAGATCAGTACTCATCCCAAGTATACACACGGACTTTGGACTCCCATCCAACAATGTGAGATGCACTCTCACCCTGAACTCTTGGGGGGAGGGTCTAGGCCCTGCTCTGGATGAAATGACAGACTATGGACACCCCCATGGAGGGCCTCACCCTCCATGGGGAAATGAGGGGATATTAGGGGGGTTGGGGGGAGGGAACTGGAGGAGGGGAGGGAAATGGAGAGGGACCTGGAACTGACTTGTGAATCAACCTTGTTTCTAATCTAAATTTAAACTTAAAAATAAAAAAGGATTTTCTGTTATACTCCTAGATCAGAAAGCTATTGGGACAACACCAGAAGGTGTTTCTCCTGTAACTAATGGCAACAAATACAGATATGCACAGTATGCAGAGAGCGTGAGAGACCTTGCGTCATACACCTCTAAGTAGGATATAACTATCATATTCTTCCCCCCCCCCCCAGAGCTCAAGGAATTGCTCAGAAGAGGAGTCGGTAGAAACCTGGGAACCAAAAGTCATGGATGACACCAGGTGAACAACAGAATCTAATGACCAAAATTTACATGAACACACAGGGTTTGAAGTGTAAACACAGGGCCTAACCTATAACATTCCATGTTAGTGTTTTTTTTTTTTTTTGGTTTTATGAGACAGGGTTTCTCTGTATTGTTTTGGAGGCTGTCAGTCCAGCCCGGCCTCGAACTCACAGCGATCTGCCTGCCTCTGCCTCCCGAGTGCTGGGAATAAAGAGGCATGTGTCAGCACCGCCCAGCTCATGTTAGTGATTTTATGGCATTTCTGTGTCTGTGAAGGAGTAAACTTAGGTTTCTTGTGCTTTGCTTTTGGTTCCTTTCCTCATGTTGCTTTGCCTTGTTTATCTTTGAGGTAGTAGGTTGTGTGTTATCTTATTGTATTTCTATTTGTTATACGGGCTCTCTGATAAAATATACATACATGTTTTTCTTTTGCATTAAAATGAGTAAGTCTTTCTTTTCTTTTCTTATTCATATTAAATGTGTAAGTTCACAGAGTAGGTAGCTTGATTCTGTAGAACTGAATTTATGAATGCTTTTGGGAATAGAACCCAGGTTCTCTGTAAGAGCTGTCAGTGTTCTCCTCTACTGAGTCCATGACTCCAGTACCTTTAATGCATATCATTGCAACCAGTATTATATTTTAACCTTCCTGTTTGAACTTATTTGTGATTATGAAATTACATCAGTTATCTTAGATATGAAAATCATAGTTTCAATTAGAGTACTCCATCATAGTTAGAATGGATACCATCAAAAGATGAGTAAAAATTAACGAGCATGTGGGGGTTTGGGGAATCCCCCAAAAATATCTTTTGTGAGTAGAAATCTGGCAGACAGTGTAGTACGCAGTATACAGATGCTTTTGTAAACAAAGATACAACTATGTTATGGTTCTTCCGCATTTCTAAGGGAAGTTTCTGTAGGTACATGCGTCAGTAAAGCACAGAGCCTATTTTCTATCCATATTTATTTCAGCATTATTCATAATACAAATGCTTTGGAGTCAACTTTGATGCCTGCAAATAAATGTGCAAATTAAGAAAAGATATCATTTAAATTTTATTTCACACACTAATAGTGATTATTGCTATTTACAATAATTCTTAGAATTTTAAGACTTTCATTCAAAATTATCTCACTTAAATTGATACCCAGTTATTATTAACTGTCATTAACCAATATATAGAAGATTAAATAAAGAACTTGTATTAAATTCATACATGATTGGAACTAAAAATAAAGTTGAATGAATAATATCTCAGTGTTCATGGATCTATTAGAAAGAATAAAAGTCAGATAAAAGGCATGCACATATTTTATACACACAACAAAATTGCCCTATGTCTGGAAGAAATTAATGATAAAATTAGAGGACAGTGGATGGAATAGGAAATAATCATATTAAACTCGAGTGTTAGGTTTGGGAAATTAAGACTTTTCACCAACTCTAGCTACAACAGTATATGTCTGTCAGTCTTTCAGTCTGTTCATTCATTTGTCTGTCTGTCTGTCTGTCTCTCTCTCATATATCATACATATATATATATGTATACATATATATACTCAAACACACACAGAGACACACACAGCATATGTATGCAAATATTTTAGACAAATTAACACAAGTAATATTTGAACATGGAATAGTCTTCACATAATTGGGGATGGGACACCATATGAAGCCAATGAGAACAAAAATACATAAGAACATATTGTTGGTCCACTCTTCCACCAACAATCAAGATTCTAGAATGCAGACTAGAGTGGTTAAGTAGGACAATGGAATATGATTTTACACATTCAACACTGGGTCATTTCACAGGAATTGTTTCCTAGTAAGATACTCATCACAAGTCTTCAAGTCACTCCTGGAATTTACATTACCATAAAAATATAGGAACTCAAAGATAAAGTAGAAGAATTTAGTCATCACAAGGTATCAATGAAAACTGAGGATAAGAGATGGAGATAGTTGTTTGGAACTCAAATTATAAGTTTATCTTCTCAATGACAATGATTGGTTGGGCAGAAGAGTGATAGGTTTGATGCTGTATCTGAAGTGAGTCTCAAAGGTCTGGTTTTTCTCTGGATCTTTTTCGATATTTGAAAATCAGCATTAAACATGCAAATGAATTGTGATTCTATAATGAGTTGGATATGTTTAAATACACGTGTATTCGGTAATGTTGTGATTTGACCTGATTATAGTTTTTTTAGAAAATGGAAATACAGATTTGGTGTACATAGGTTACACCGCATATTCTGTGGATGTCATATGCTTCAAAATTTAGGCTGCCTAGCACTGGCATGGACTTGTTGGTGGAATGTCCCATGGGTTACCATGATTTCTGACTTGTGTATCCTTCTTGAACCGTTAATTGATGGATTCCATGTGGGTCATTTGAGAAAATACACTCATCTAATTTTTAATATTGTTAACATAAATCCAGGTAGTCTTGGGACCAAATTTTCTAAAACTGTGTTACTCCCAGGACCTTATAACAACAAACATGAGTGATGTCATGGGATGAGATACTGAACTACCCCTTATATATGAATCAGCCCATATTTTTCACATGCACTGGGAACCCCAGATGCAGAGTCCCAGGGAAGACAATATTCCTCCAGGGTTGAAGAAACACCTGGGAGAAAAAGGAATCACAGACTCAAAAATAGCATCTCATTTCCCCAAGAAATAAAAGCAGGTAGGGAAAGTGGGGACCCATTTAATGTGCTTCTCTATATGACACTTAACAATTCAAGCCACTCTGCTTAGTATAGGACAGAGATGTTCATTTTGACTTTCCTCTTTATGCTCCTGAAGATTCCAATTCTAATGGCCAGTTTCACGAATCCCAGTTGTTTTTGGAAATTGAAGCAGAGTAATGACAAGGATAAAAACTTGAAGACAGGTTGTTTCTTCTCACCTAGAATTGTGCAGTGGCCAGTGGATAAAGAATATTTCAAACAAAGGTTGAATATAAAGTAAGTTTTTTTGTAGTTTTCACTTAAATATCATCATGAGTATTTCAAGACGGTTCTTTAATTCTTTTGTCCTGTTCTCTGAACTTCCTTACCAACAAACGACCCCAAGTTCTTTTAGAGACTCTTTGTTATTTTACTGTTTTTGATTGTCCAATGTGTATTCTGTTTTTCTTCCAGTTATCCTCTCACTTTCAAGGCTAGAAGTGGAAATAAGGAAGCAGTCACTATCATGATCCACCACAAAGTCCCCTCCTCTTGACATTGTCCATAGCACAGTTGTCAGTAATGTCTCATCAAAAGAAAACCAATACTATTTCAATGAATTTCACTCTAAGTACATGAAATTAAATGGCCTTAGAATCTGCTCATGGTCATTTCATCAGTATGTGCTTGTGTGAGTAGCAGACATATTTGTGCCACACAGAGCTGCAAAGAGATTTCACATAAATATTAAGAACTCCCTCAAATTTCTTGCATGTGACCACTCTAACTCCTGAAGCTGACTTAAGAATATATGTAGGGGACCTGTCTTTTGTGAGTTTCGTTTGTCTTCCTGTTTCTCCATACTTTACTTATATGCAATGTCCAGTTCTCCATTCACAATTTACAGTAAGGAAGTAATGCGTGGATTGTAATTGATATGTCTACAGTCTTTAAAAACTGTGGTTAAATTAATAGTGATGGCTGCATACTTCACTTGTCACTTACCTGAGTGATAGCTGTGGCATATGATATTTGGCACACTTGAGAACAGGGAGAGTACTTACCTACTAGCCCTACTAGCTCTTCTTTCCCTTTATTTAAGAATCATTTGTCTTTTATTTTAAATATAAGTTGTTTGTTCTCTGTCACTCATAACACGCTTACCTCTTACATTTCTCTTTCAGTACTTTTCTAATTATACATGCATATTTTACCAATGTAGGCAATATACACATAATGATTTTGTAGAATGCATGTAGTTGGGTTAAACACAGCACTTTAGTTCAGTTGTCAAATATGAGAGCTCTAGTCACTGATGTTTCTTAATTTCATTGTTGTGAATTTAGTGTTTCAGTTGCATGAGATCTATTCTCAAATTTTTTGTTTTTACTGAAAATTGCAACGATATTTTTTCTTTGAGATAAGGAACATTCATATAATGCCTCTTTTTATAAACAGAGACATGAGAAACTTACAATTTCTAAATGGCAAACAGATTGAATATAACTCTGAATAAATTGTTCAAATAAAGTAGCATGTTTAATGTATATAAATCATACTATATAAAATGACTGGAGAAACATGAGTTATCATTCTTCCCATAAACATGAACACAATATAATATTGTTATCTTCCAACTTTCCTGTTGATGTAAATGCTAAAGTATTCCAATAATGGTAATTAGTAGAAAAATATGATGGTTAGATATGCCCAGTTTGAATATATGAGATGCTTGTTTTTAAATGTGAACAAGTTGAAAAATACTGTAGTGGGATACATGACTTTAATATGTGTACTCAAGACCTAGAGCAGGTGCATCCTTTTGTATTTGAGGCCAGACTAGACTATAGGAAATTGTAATTAAAAACAAAGTGATTTGTGCACCTTTGTGGCCAAAGTTAGCATTAATCATGAAAAGCACAGAGATTGATGCAGACATTCAAATATTCTACCAAATATGTCTTTGGTGCTTGAATTTATTTAAAAGTAAGCATTAAAAAAGATTAATTGCCTTCAATTACACCTGAAATAAAAGCATGAGCAAGATTTTGGTGGACATGAGAGGATATGTTAACTATATTGCCCACTAATTATCGCTAACTGTAAGCCCATGGAAAAATATTGCCCCATAAAACTATTATGAACTCATCTGTGATTGTTTTTCAATCTTAGCCATTTCAGTAATTTTCATAAAAATAAGCTCTTTAGCTAATACATCATATGCTTTTTTATATTAATCAATAATTTCAATGTGAAGATGGCTAGGTTTACTGTTTGGTTAATGACTGTGTCTCATCTCTACCTTCTGAGGAAGCAGTCAAAAACCAGAGATGGAAAATGCTTTCTGTATAAGATGTCAATGGAGCATCTAATTTATGGGAGATCAAGCCCTATGGACTTCAAAGGTTTTACAAGCTTTCAAGATCTTATGACTTTCCAACATCACAACAGAAGATATTTATTTCAATATTGGAGGGAGGTTGGGGATACATTGCAGTACAAGATAGTCCTTGTATGGACTATAAATTCTCATGTACTGATGTTTGTTCATATTAAACACTGTACCCTTTAACAGAACACCAACTGAGAACTACAAGTTTGTACTGGCCTTGGCTTTTACCCTGGATGAGGTCAACAGGAATCCTGATCTACTACCAAATAAATCTCTAGTATTTAATAATGATGGACATTATTGTATCAGTGTGTCTAAATTGTACACTTTGACTAGAATTTTGGGACAAGATCCTGATTTTTTCCCTAATTATTGCTGTGAGGAAGATATCACATGTAATGTGATATTTACGGGACCAAACTGGGAAACATCTGCAATTCTTCTGTCATACCTGGACCTCTGGAAATTCCAACAGGTACAAATTTTATGGTTTGGGTTTGACTGAAATGCTGTCCTGATGGGATCCATTCCCAGATACTAAAAACTGTATTCAGAGGGGACTAGACTTACATTAATGTCAATCTATGTAGCTCATGAGTAGTATTCAGAGAATGAAGAGCTATCCACATTTCCATGTTTGAAATAAAGATGGGGAAGAAGTAAAGCTAAGGGGATTTGACAAGTAAGGTTTCTAGAACTTTTTGCAGAAAAAAATGTGTTTACAAGCTCTTTGGACTCCATGGCACCTCATGGTTCTCTCTGCATCCTAGGTCATTCAGTTTACCTATGGATCCTTCCATCCAATCTTAAGTGATCGTGAAAAATTTCCATATCTCTATCAAATGGCCCCCAAGGACACGTCTCTAGCCCTGGCCATGGTCACTGTCATACTTCACTTCAGATGGAACTGGGTAGGGCTAGTCATCTCTGACAATGATCAGGGCACCCAATTTCTCTCACACTTGAGAAGAGTGTTGGAAAAACATACAGTTTGCCTTGCCTTTGTAAATGTGATTCCAATCAGCATGCAGTTATACATGTCAAGAGCTGAAATATATTATAACCAAATTAAGACGTCATCCGCAAATGTTGTTATCATTTATGGTGATTCAGACAGTACTCTTGCTGTGAGCTTTCGATTGTGGAAATCCCAAGGTTTACAGAGAATATGGGTCATCACCTCACAGTGGGATGTGACAACTAGTAAAAGAGACTTTGTATTTCATACAGCCCAAATGACTCTAGCTTTTGCTCAACATTGTGGTGATATTTCTGGTTTTAAAAAATTTGTTAAGAAAGCGAACCCTATCAAAAACAAAGATGAATACCTTGCAAGGATGGAATGGATGAACTTTAATTGTGAAGTTTCTACATCCAACTGTAAGACACTGAAGAAATACTCATGGAATACCTCCTTGGAATGGCTAGTGGTACGGACTTCTGACATGGCCTTTAGTGATGGCAGTTACGACATATACAATGCTGTGTATGCTTTGGCCCATGCACTGCATGAGGTGGATCTACAACAAGTAGATACACAACCAATGGACAAAGGGAAAGGAAACAGTTCTAGCTGTGTGAAGGTAGTATTCCTTCAGTTAGATGTTATTTTGTGTCAGCAATGTCGTATTATTAGGAGTCTATCAGATGCCTAGACTCAGAGGACTGGGGAGTATTCACCCCAAAATAAAGATGTCTGAGCATTTTCTTTTCTTCTGAGGGAGTAAATCTAGAGTTTGGTAAAAATCTCTAGTGCAAAGGCAATGGAGCCTAAGACAATATGCACTAAGGACAATCAGAGATTTTGTTACTGAGTATCTGAATATCATCACCCCAGGTTTTTTTTGTTTTTTGCTTTTCAGGTTATTTTTGAGACAGGGTTTTTCTGTATACCTTTGGAGCCTATCCTGGAACTCACTCTATAGCCTAGGCTGGCCTTGAACTGATAAAGATCTGCTTGCCTCTGCCTCCGGAGTGCTAGGATTAAAGGCATGCACCACCAACACCCAGCCAACCCTGTTCTAATACTGTAAGCATTATCAGTGCTTCCTCATGAATATTCCCTTTAATTAGATGATAACTTTGCACATTCATTGTCAAGATTGTTGTGAATAATGTAGGGGATAATATCCATAAGTACTCTCACCTGATTCTTCCCCCAATATCAGCTCTGAGAACACAGTTGCCATTCTGAAAATTATTACACAGGCAATACTGTTATGTCAGTTCAGAACATACATGTACATTCATGTGTGTGACTGGAGGTTTCTGACTCTACATGTGTGCATTTTTGTGTATTTCTGTTCATGTCTATGTATGCATGTCTTCATATAGGTTCGTATGATTATCTGTCTGTCTTTATGTGGAATTTATAATAAATTTGTCTGTGTCTTTCTGTATGGGTATATTTAATATGTGTATCTACCTGTATGTATTTGGCAGTGAATGTGTCTACATGAGAATTTGTGTATATTTGTGCATTTCCATCTATGTGGTTTCACATATGTATATCTGCATTGGTATATATGTGTGTATGTGTGTGTGTGTGTGTGTGTGTGTGTGTGTGGGCATGTATGAGTGAGCATGTCTGTGTTTTGATGTGTTGATATGTTTTTCTGTTTCTCAAAGCTTCCCTGTTTGTATCTGTGTGCATTTTCCTGTATGCATTTGGGTATGTTTGCATTCCTGTTACTGTGTTCTCATGTTCTTTATGTATGTTTGGATGAATATGCCTGTGTATGTTTGACTGCATAAGTAAAGGAATTCCAGGGCATGTATATGTGTATGTTTGTTAAATAAATGTGTTCCTGTATTTTATGTGTATCTCTGGATTAACTTGAGGATCTTTCTCTTTCATGTGTGTTTCTGTGTGTGTGAGTGGGCTGCACATCTATGTTTGGTGTCTGAATGTATGTCTCTGTATGTGTTTCATTGGTTCCTCTGAGGGATCTAAAATTAAAGAACATTATTACAATCTTCTTTACCACTTTAATTTCATTGAGGTTTCTCCCCTAACCACATACAATAATGCTGATTTTAAGATAAAATAAGAATTATTTTTCTTCAATGAAGGGCAAACACAATATAGGATGCTGTCTGTCTTGCAGCTGAATGCAATTCTGAAGAAGACACAATTCACAAATCCTGTTGGGGACAGAGTGAATATGAACCATAAAGAAGAACACATGGAAGAGTATGACATTTTTCAGATTTGGAATTTCCCACATGGTCTTAAATTTAAGGTGAAGATAGGAAAATATAGCCCATATTTTCCACATGGACAACAGTTCCATGTATATGAAGAAATGATAGAGTGGGCCACAGGAACTACAAAGGTGGGTCAGCCCAAATTGATTTCCATTACTCATCAGTAACACTATCAATTGGGAACATTCATGCTTCCTTAAAACTTTATGTAATAAATTGTCATTTTATGAACCAATATGAAGCCTTTTACTTTATGTTTCTTCTTTTCTCCTTTGTGATATGACTTTTTATTAATCTTTTGAGGATTTCCCACATCATACAGTAATGTGTGTCCTAAAAATGTTAATTCCTCATTTGAATTGTTGACAATTTAGGAACACTTTGTTAAAGTATCAAACAAATTAAATGTAAAAATGCATGGTCAGTATATTTATAATCTACACTGTTGTAAGGATGGAGTAGATTATAAATATACTGACCATGCATTAATATTTTAGGACACACATTAGATATTCTATGAATTATTAAGTTGCTTTTCACTTCTTTTTTCATTTTTGTGGGTATGGAAATTTTGTCCTCATATATTCTGACACCTGCTATGACTGTTGTTCATATGGATGACTGCAGAATTATTTGAGTCCTAGGAAATGGAGAAAATTTATTTCCATGCAATGACTGCTAGAATTCAAACTTGAGTCCTATTCATGAGCAGGAATTCTTACCTAACTCTGAGTCATGAATCCAGCTCTGAATCATACACTATAAAATTATTTTATCACTATACCTTGCTTGTTCATATTATTTCATAGTTCATTCAAAATAATAAGGGTGTGTCTAATTTTCTTCTCCTTATTTTGAGCATTGTTATTAAGAGGAAATTTGTAAATGAAATATCCCATTATTTCTCATGGGCATTTTATAGAAATGAAGTATGATGTGCACGGTTTTAAGGTATTCAATTCAAACTGCCTAGTACAAAGTATATAATTTGTAAAGACTTTGATTTCGGCAAAGTCTTCAAACATAACGAGGTAATATTTCAGTTTTCCTAGATAGTATGAAACTTAGAGTTTTTCTACTGGATAATAGAATCTATTAAATGTACTCTTAAAGGAGGGAAGTAAAAGTGATATATTCCAAATACTTAGAGAAATATGTTGCCAATCTTGGTTAGTTCAACAAGCACAATTACCCCTAACTATAGAAAGAGACAGGACAAAGTTCACTAATGCAAACGATTATAGAATGCATAACAAATGAAGCAAGACTCTGAAAGAACTTGAAGAACTCTTTCAGATAAAACATCAGGCTGAATAAGAAGTCAAAGTATTTATAACCATCACTGGAACAATAGTCAGAGTATCAGCTATCAGAAAAGTATCAAATATTGCCATAACCAAAAATTTAAAAATATTTTCCATAAGAATTGATTGTCAATGGCTTCATTTTCTTATCAAAGTGCACAGACAATAAAATTGGTTTGAAAATTCAAAGATTCTTTTTTTAAATTTCATTGGGGAAATATTGAGAAACCTATAAAAGGAGGAAAAGTAAATCCCTAGAAAAATATCTTGGATGGATATGGGTGTAATAACTCTGTACTAAACACCTGTCAAGAAATCTCAACAGCACAACAGAAAGATCAGTTTCTACAAACAAGATGACTTCATTCCAAAGATGTAAGCATGCTTCAAGATATGTAGAATTTAAGAGTGTAATACCACATGAATAAATGGAAGGACAGAATTCAATTATCATCTACAATTCTGAACAAAAGACTCTTAATAAAGTCCAATCTTGCCAGGCTGTGGTGGTGCATGCCTTTAATCCCAGCACTTGGGAGGCAGAGGCAGGCGGATCTCTGTGTGTTCGAGGCTGGGCTGGACCGACAGCCTCCAAAACAATACAGAGAAACTCTGTCTCGCAAAACCCAAAAAATAAAAATAAAGTCCAATCTCGACTCAGGTTGATAAAAAAATAAAAGAAATTAAGCCTGACAGATTACAATGAGAACATCTTGATATATAATTGTTTCATGTGACAAGCATATTGAGAGCATCATACCACAGGGAGAGAAAAATCAGAGATTATTCATTAAAGTCTGATGGAGTCAATGAGTTTGTGGTGCATGTCTTTAAGTAAAACTCATTTAAAAAAGAATCTGGTAATCTTTCTTTTTGTAGTAATCCTTAACTACATCGGGGGTTCAAACCAGACAGAGATCCTTAAGTGAAATAAGCAGAAAATGGATAACGGCATTCCTTGTCTTCACTCATTCAAAATAGTTGATAAAATATGATAAAATTATAAAATAAATGGAAAAATACATACAAAATGAAGGTATTAAATACATCATTATAAAGGGAGTTTATGCAATCCATAGCTGCACACTGAGAATTTGCTTGAACAAAAACAACAACGAACAGGAAGCATTGTAGTTCTCCATAGTTGTGGAGAACATAAGATGGTTCTGTGCTTAGGAGATGCGTTCATTTTGACGTAAAAGTTAACACAAAACCAAAGACGAAAAGTGAGCAAGCAAGAATCAGGTCCCCTCTATGCAACTTATAGATGCCCTTCACCAGGTTCATAGTAATCAAAGATATTGTATACATATTTACATTGATAAAACTTTCAACAATGTAAGTTTTATTCAGGTTACCCATGCATTTGTAGATTTGTTAAACTTTTCACATTAGGAAACACTTTACTTTCCAGATCACTACACATCAAGTCAGCACTTCCTAATAAAAAAGTACACTGGGTTCTGCCTAGAGAGCCTTTTGCTCTTCACAGTCTGTATGTCATTCTTTGCAGTACTATTTCATTGGAATTAATGTGTGTTGTCTGAGATTTTAGGAGATATTTCCCTTGTTTCAGAAGCACATTTATCCTACATTGCTATTTGGGTGTTGTGATTAAACTCTGCTATTAGTAAATTTAGGGGGAAGGGTAGACTTGCTCAATTGTTACAGTAAGGAAGATCAGGCAGGAATCTGGAGATGCTGAAAGAACACTTCTAATTGGCTTGCACTCTTTGCATTTATCATGATGCCATTGCCACTTAATAAAATGCTTAAAGATAGGGTGACAGACTAGTTTGAAAACCACATTTATTATTTAATCTTTTTTATGTATTTTAGAATCTTTGCTTTTTGTAATGAGATCACACAGTTGGTGTATATGAAATTAACTTATCAATATATAAACATGATGTGTAATACAGGTATGAAAGGAGTAGGTTAAACTTTTGGTATCACCATGCTTGTGAATTTTCACAGATACCACCACCCTCTGTGTGCAATGCTGATTGTGGTCCTGGATTCCGAAAATTAGGGCAGGATGGAATGGCAGCCTGCTGTTTTAAATGCAATCCCTGCCCAGAAAATGAAATCTCTAATGAGACAAGTGAGTATTGAGGAAGTCATAAATACTCGCCACACTGAGATGCTGAAAGTGTCTGGAAGGGAGTTGCACAAACACAATATATTTGCCTAAGTTAAGCTTTACAAGAATATGTTCATTAATATGTCCCTGTATAAAATTCCTCATGTATCAATCTACATATTGACCCATTTTAAATTCACAGCAGGTGGCATATTCTAAAAGAGACAGTTTTGGTAATCAACGTGCAGTCTGAGAGAATTTTACACATGGTCTTTCCAGTGATTAATATCCTCTAAAATTACATTTGGGTCTTGAATTATATCTCGGTCTTGAATCTTTCCAAATACTTTAATTTTTTTGGTTTTATGAGACAGGGTTTCTCTCTATTGTTTTGGAGGCTGTTGGTCCAGCCTGGCCTCGAACTCGCAGAGATCTGCCTGCCTCTGCCTCCTGAGTGCTGGGATTAAAGGCGTGCGCCACCACCGCCCGGCTACTTTAATGTTTTTACATGTATGTATGCCTACATATGTTTATACATACTCTGTATGCACAAGTGCTCACAAATAATAGAATAGAGCAATAAATCTGCAATACTATGGAATGTGCCTACTGATAATCAGATACAAATCCACTATAATATTAAGGGAAATTTATTACTGTTCAATTTTCATGAACAGCTGAGAAGAGACAGAAGACTACATGCAATATCCATAGAACTCTTATTAAAATTGCAGCTTTATTGAAAAGTTAGGAATGTGGGAAAACATATTGATACATAATATGAAAACAATATTCAATATTTTTATGTACATAACCTAGTGATAATGTCACAAAAATATCCACAATTATTCAAATCATATTATCACTTATACACCACATATTAGTCTAATGATTATTTATTCAGGACGTTCTAAATAAAATGGTGGACTAATCTTTTTTCACTGCTTTTGCATGTCATCTCATAAAATGAAATGAAAGTCCATGATGGATATTTATGGACAGTGAGATGACACTTAAGTTAAATTACTTTCCACTAGCACAGATAAGCTTCAGGACACATGTGGTATAAGGAACTCCATGCAGTGCCACATAAATCATATTCCAAAATTATTAAACTGAGCATCCTTAACTCTTTGTAATATAAAACCACTTAAGATTAATGTATACTTATGAAAATTTATCAAAATGTATTCATTATTATATGATTATATGTTTGTATATAAGGTTGATAGTTATATGCACCGGAGGGAGAGTGCTATTGAGAGCCACCCAATGCTTTTGTAGTTTGTTTCACAAATTTATGAGACACCTGAATTTATAGTGAGAACTGAATTCAGGTCTTCTGGGAGAGCAATACATTCTATCACAGTTGAACAAAATTCCCAGGCCCTTAAACAAATTAACTAATTAAAGTGCAAATAAACTTTTTTCTATATAATCTCCTTAAATAATGATGGCCCATTCTCACTGTCTGCAATTATCTGATGAACAAGAGCAACTACTATACAGATTTCTACACTTAGTATAATGGTTATCACAACTTATAAATGGGGTACTATCAATCATCACAACATTCTGTGTTAGCACTCTGTCTTGAAGTTTCTTGTGTTTTCTCTCTAATGCTGCTTGTCAGTATCAACTTAATCACAGAGTACATTGACAGAGTCTGGGTCGTATAGAGATGGAAAATAGGAAATTAGGGAAGGAGCAGGGTGTTGTCTTTTACCATATGGAGTGTAACCATGATAAAGGGGCATAGTAATGCTATGTATGTACAGAGGATTCTAATTTCACAGATAGGCTACAGCTTCTTATGGACAAAACTTGGGAGTTATCTTTTGATACTACAAAAAGATGACTAAATTAAGGGTGTGCATTTCCCAAACTCTATTCATCACTCACTTTCACCCTCCTACTTGCTCCATATAATCCCAATAACTTTCAAATTCTCCAGATATTTTTATTGTAAATATGAATATTCACCAGTGAATATAAACACAATTATACAAACCACTAATTTCATTTAAATGTGTTTTATTTAAATGTATTTGGGCCAGAAAATTTAAAATAAAAATGTATCAGAGTTCTGGTCAGAGTATAAAACACAGAATTCATATATCGTGGAGACAACATTAATAGAAATGACAAAAACAAGGCATCAGGAGGCACAGAATCCATGTGTGTGGGATTTTAAAAACACTCAGAAAGTCTGTGGTAAAGGAAGTTAGCATTTGTAAATTTAGCAAAATAAGTCATGTCTTCATAGTCTCCTGATTGTAGTAAAAAAATCTGTGCTTCTTGATATCATGTCATATAAATGCACTAATATACCTAAACAGAGAAAAATTCTTTGATTTTGTTCCTCACATAGTTGATGAGCATTATGAAATGGAAGTGTTTCTAGGCAGCAAAGTCCTTCTATGACATCCTCAACAAGAAAATTCAGATATTGCAGTGGTTTCTCTGTACATGTGATTGAAATGCCCTGCCAATAAAAATGCTGAAGTTGAACTAATAATACATTACTCTCCTCCTCAGATGTGGATCAGTGTGTGAAGTGCCCTGATGACCAGTATGCCAACATAGAGCAGAACCAGTGTATACATAAAACAATGATATTTCTGAGCTATGAAGATCCTCTGGGGATGACTCTTGCCTTATTGGCCTTGTGCTTTTCTGCATTCACAGCTCTAGTTCTTGGGGTCTTTGTCAAGTACCACGACACTCCCATTGTGAAGGCCAATAACAGGAAGCTCAGTTACATCTTGCTCATCTCACTCTTTTTTTGTTTCCTCTGCCCCCTGCTCTTCATTGGCCATCCAAACTCAGCTACATGCATCTTACAGCAAATCACATTTGGAGTTGTATTCACTGTGGCTGTTTCCACTGTGCTGGCCAAAACAGTGACTGTGCTTCTGGCTTTCAAAGTCACAGCCCCTGGACAAAGTATGAAATACTTCCTGGTTTCAGGAGGACCTAATTACATCATCGCCTTCTGTACCCTCATCCAAATTATTATCTGTTCAGTCTGGTTGGGAGCTTCTCCTCCCTCTGTTAACATTGATACCCACTCTGAGCATGGCCACATCATCATTGTGTGCATTAAGGGTTCATTCACTGCCTTCTACTCTGTCCTGGGATACCTTGCCAGCCTGGCTCAGGTAAGCTTCACTGTGGCTTTCTTGTCCAGGAATCTGCCTAACACATTCAATGAAGCCAAGTTCTTGACATTTAGCATGCTGTTGTTCTGCTGTGTCTGGATCACTTTCCTCCCTGTGTACTATAGCACAAAGGGTAAGGTCATGGTAGTTGTGGAAATATTTTCTGTCTTGGCTTCTAGTGCTGGGATGCTGGGATGCATCTTTGTTCCTAAGTGCTATATGATTTTGATAAGACCAGCAAGAAAAATCTCTTTAAAGTATCAGGGAAAAATCACCTTCCAGAACTAATGTTTCCTTAATTCTAACTCACTTATATATAGTTCGCTCATATCCACCAAATATTTACTTACAAGGCAACACCTATCTCTTTTAAAATGACTCTGACTCTTCATATAATTATGTGACCTAACAATATCATATCTCTTATTGTTGTCTACATTGTTTCCTATACTCTTTCACTCAGTTACTGATTTCATAAGACCTGGCCATTGGACGATAATGCAGAAAGGAAATATTATTTTCTGCTTTAAAACACAAATCTGTCCAAAATATAATCTAAGTTCTTTTTAAAATATCTGTGTGAATGTGTGAATGACTTCGATGGCAGTAGATTACTAAGGGCAAAATACAAGGTATTTTTGAGACAGCTAACTTTGATTTGCAGACATATTTAAAACAATGCTCCATCTTGTTGGGGGGAAGGTTAGAAGAAAGTGATGCATCCAAGGAGTTAGAAAAGTAGAACATGGAAGAGAGAGTGAGAAAAAGATAGAAAGACATTAATTGAAACTGGATTGATGCCTCAGCAGTTAATTTCATGTGCTTTTTTTGAAGAGGATATTAAATAATATGAGTCATTAAAATTCTCTTCAGGATATCATAGAGCAATATATCCAAAGGATCAGATGAACACTTGTGGGCTTTTAAGTTACCTGGACTCACACGTTTATGCAGTCTCTCTCTCTCTCTCTCTCTCTCTCTCTCTCTCTCTCTCTCTACACACACACACACACAGTCTCACACCTAAAATTATATAAATTTTAAATATTGGAAAACTCTTAAAGACTCTGATTTGTTTTTTGGCTTTTCAAATTGCTCTTAAGATATCAGAATTAGAAATTATCAACAGATGAAGGATGGGACTTAGATGAGATGACTGGGTCTATGTTCATGTATTTGACATAAGAACCTTCAAATTTTAGTGTCCAACAAGAGGCACAGAAAGGGGAAGAACAGATTTTTATGTTGGTATCTTGTAGCTGGTGTGAATTTTACTTGATACTAACCATCAAAATTCTTTCAAATTTCTATTTAAGAAAATTGTGACTCTTAATATAGCTGTGTTTAATGGGTACTAGTAAAGATACTTTTTGTAGAATAAATATCCCTGGATTCAGTTTATATGTATTAGCTTTCTGTTATAAAATACGATTTCATTTTCATTTCCAGCATAATGGTGTTTTCCTATATACATGCAGTAACCATAGAGACCAGAATACTGCTTTTTTATTTTAACATTTTAATTTAAATAAGAAACAAGCTTGCTTCCCATATCAATCCCAGCTCACTCTCTCTCCCCTCCTCCCTCATCCCCCAGCCACCCCAATCCCCCACCCAATCCATAGTAAGGCTTTCTATGGAGGATCTCCAGAGTCTCTCATTTCATTCAGGGCAGGCCATAAGCCCTCTCCCAAAGAGTCAAGGCTAGTAGAGGCTAGTAGAGCATCAATCATTGTGGGATAGAGACCCAAAGTCCATTTGTATGCCAGGGATAAATACTGATAAACTACTGAAGGTCCCATAGACTGACTAGTCCTCCTCATAGACACGCACATTCAGGGGTTCCAGTCTCTCAGCCATCACCCTGGTGTCCAAGAGCTCCCACTTGTTCAGGTAATCTGTTTCTGTGGGTTTCACCAGTCCAGTCTTGACTCCTTTGCTCATCACACCTCCTTTTCTGTCCCTGGGTTCCAGTAGTTCAGTTCGGTGTTTAGCTGTGGGTGTCCACCTCTGATTCTATCAGTCACTGGATAAAGGTTCTAGGAGGACAAATAAGGTAGTCATGGTTTCTTCTAGTGCTCTCCATTTGCCTGCAAATTTCAAGTTTCCATTGTAATTTTTCCTGCTGAGTAATACTCCATTTTGTAAATATACCATATTTTCTTTATCCACTCTTTAGTTGAGAGGCATCTAGGTTGCTTCCACATACTGGGTATCAGAAATAATCCTGCTATGAACATAGTGGAACAGGCATCTTTTGGATATATGGCTAATAATGGAATTGCTGGGTCTTCTGGTAGGCTGATTCCCATTTTTCTGAGGAATCTTCATACTGATTTCCAAAGTGATTTAACGAGTTGGGACTCCCTCCTGCAATGTTGTAGTGTTCCCCCTTTCTCCTGCATAAACTGTCATTGGTGTTTTTTATTTTAGCCATTCTTACAGGAGTAAGATGGTATCTAAGAATTGAATTTTCCTGATGACAAGGGATTTTGAACACTTCATTAGTTGTCTCTCCAGAATGCTTCCTTAGCCAAAAACCTGGAAATTTGAATATTCCTAGCTGCCATTTGATTACTGGCAGGTAATTCCAGGTACTCTAGATTAACAGGCATTATTACTAAAGTGCATTCATTAAATTTCAGTTGGCTACTAGTGTTTGCCAATTAGAGGATTACTTATTGAGTGTTTAAGTGATGGGCTCATTAAATTGATAAATAGTAAGGGAGTGTGACCCTGCCCTTCAATTAGGACGAGTCCTACCCATACAAATGGCATACCAATAGGATTTCACATCATGAGGAAGCTATGGACCATGAAATTTATCATGAAAATTCATTACATTCTATTTTGGCTCTCAGACTTTTAAACTATTAGGTTGGTGATAGAGAGATATCTTATCATTGAAGGACAGGGGCTTGTTTTGCATAGGACCTACATTTGATTTCTGGTACCCATATCATTGTTTACAAGTGAGTTTATCTCATGCTATAGAAGATTTGAAGTGCATAGGCACAAGAATTGTGTGTTGTACACATATATGTATGTAAGCCAAGCACTCATACATAAAAATAAATATAGAAGCAGGTTACAGTTGATCATTGCAATGTCTGATTAAAATGCTTAACAATCAGTAACAAAATTCTAGTGTATGCAGTATAAAAATATCTAGTTATGTATTTATTCTGGCATATTCGTCCTTCTACTGACCGTTTCTCACACTTTATATGTAAGTCAAAATCATACTATGAACCAATTGATTTTTCATGAATTTGAGAGAAAGAGAGAGAGCTAAAATGAAAGAGGGCTATTGTAGCTATGCAATGGATTAAAATGGGAGCATAAAAATTATCTAGTCAGATTTTAATTTTACAAATAAAAAATAAAGGAAGAAAAATATAATATAAGTTTTAAAAATGTTAAATAATGACCGTCATCTGGAAAACAATTATTGCATAATGTATTTCATCTGTATGAATGAGCATGTTGTTGTTTCATTCTTTTCTTGAACAGGATAAAGTTGATTAACTCATCATGGCTAGATAGATATTAAAGGAGAAAGATGGACAGTGTCTAAAATATGTAGAATTGTAAGTTTAGATTAGTGTATATTTGAAAATATTCTTAACATAAGAAAGGTAGTAGAGGCAGAGAGGTCAATGAATTTTGAATGACAACATCCTCAAAGACCAAAAATAGAGATCAGCACCAAGAGTTATTCTAATCTCTGAAATTAAAACTTTCACATGTCCAATCTATTCATCATATTCTAAAGTGAGTTTCTTTTTTCTTCCTCCAGGAATGCATTGTACTATATCACAATGGTATGTTAATTGTTATTTAGCCTGAATGAACTCTTCAAATGTATAAATATGAAGGAAGAGAGCAAGATTCAATAATGGTTGCTGGAGAGGCAAACAAGTGGTAAAGCACATGTCCTGCATTTCGTAGACAGTGAGGTCAACCTCCCATAACACTAAAAAAATCAATGATAGCATAATAAGGAGTTTATGAAACTACTGCTCTTGGATTGTATAGGTCTGTTTTAAAATACTTTCTTTATATACAGGCCATGATAGACTACTGCCCTCTGAACCATAAAATGAAGTGAAAGAATAGAGATAGTGTGGTGGACAAAAAAATGTTTTGTATTTCCTAGAACTGGAATGAGAAACTTTATTTTGTTCTTCTATCCGGACCATAATAGAGATTGCAATGTTGTCAACTTGTGATTCATCAGTTTGGATTGGTATTTTATGAGTCTTTTAAAAGTTGGCAATACATAAATTTTAAAATTAGGTGCTGAATTTTAATAATTTAATTATACTGAAGTATATGAGAATGGAACAGTTTCAAAGATCCTAAGGTTTCTGTAATTGCAAATCAAAGCTACATTGACAATCCATTATTCTACCAAAAAGTTATCATTAAAATGTGAGGGCTATTTTATGAACAACTACAGTGGAAGAAAGATGCCATATGCATTTTTAGTGTGAATCTAAACTAAAGTCATCCCAATAAAAATATAATGTGGTCCTTCAATCAATGAAAGAAGAACTGTCACATGTTCCATCTATAACTCTTCTGCAATATTCTGATATCAGAACAGCACAGAGACATTTGCTCATGAATGTTCATCTAAAGGTTACTCAGAATTATGAAGATATGGAAGCAGGCAACTTACCTGCAAATAGGTGAGTAAATAAAGGAAAGTATCATCTAAATCAAGGTGATTTTATCCTATGTGCTTAGAGTACAATAATCTCTTACATGTCATTTTTAGAAATTTAAATGGTTGCTTTTACCATTCTGAATCATATACACATATATTTATGTTCAGGGGAATTTGGTATTTATCATGTGTGTATGATTGAGTGTGTGTATGGTGTGTGTGTGTGTGTGTGTGTGTGTGTAAAAGTTGCATGCATACTTTGGAGGCCGGAAGATGTTGTCACATATCCTGGCAATGGATATACCTCAGAATGTATGCAACCCAATGGTACAGAAGGCCACTTCCTAAATATAACCCTAGTAGCACAGAAACTAAAAGGAACAATCAATAAGTGTTACTTCCTGAAACTGAAAGTCTTTTCTAAGGCAAAAGATACTGTTGATAAGACCAATTATCAGCCTACAGAATGGCAAAAGACCTTCATCCTCCCCAAATCTGACAGTGGACTGATCTCCTAAATATACAAAAACTCAAGAAACTAGATATAAAAGAAAATACAATATAATACAATTAAAAATGGGGTACAGACCTAAACAAAGAAATTTCACCAGAATAA